TTTTTTTTTTTTTTTTTTTTTTTAATAATTCTACGCAATATAGGATATAACTTATATCTTAAAATAAATTACTCTTAATTTTCTAATAGATACTACTTACTTATACACAAATCACATAGAACCACTTAAGAAATTTTTGTATGTAACATGTTCTAAATAATTAATTATATAATTAATTCGTTTTAGCAAATCGAACCAGGCAGACGTCGTCGATCGCTAACGTACGCACCACCATTGAACACTACGACGAACCCGGTTCTCTTATCGGATCCTGTACGTATCGGACGCGGTTTTAAAGTTATCATGCTGGACGACCTAAGCACAGCGTCCAGCCAGGTCCTAGAGAATATGGAGGAGACGGCTATCGAGGCAATGACAAAAGAGAAAAACGTTTGCATGAGTAACGGTGGCTTTTACACGGCGTTCTCTCTTATGTTGAGCATACTCTCGATCGCGACCGTGAGCGCGGCTGTGCTCTACGTGAAACTACAACGAGTCCGCAGAACAAAATTCGTGGATTCGTAGGAAGGTTTAATACCTCCTTCTCTTTACCATCGTGTAGAACACCAGGAAACGAGTTGCGTAGCGAACAACGAACGCGTGCCAGTAATCAAATAATACTATTTAAGGAACAAGTGACCGTTATCCTATCGCTTCACTACTACTACCACTTAACTTACGGAGAAACTGATCGAGGAACGGAAGGAACATCGGAGAATGTCACACCGAGATGTTTCGAGCAACCACAGTTGGCGTGCTGCGACGACTGTTTTTATTGAACTCGTTGCTTCTACATATCTCTATAAGTAAGTCTTATACAGCGCGTTAACGTTGTTCGAACTTAGTAAATTCGTTCTACTTCGTCAGCAGGACAGGGGTGCAGCCATATTTTACATATCAATATGCGAATATATCTAACAAACTATTCGTACAGTCCTCTCGGACGACGATAGTGCTCATTCCGCGTAATACTGAATACCGTGATACGATATGGTATTTATTACATACTTCGATACCAGCAATGTAGTTCTTAAGAACGTTAAAATAAATTATGATATTTGTAAAAAAGAAACTAAAGGCTGTCTCATCTCAATCGTCCCCCTTCGTGAACAAACAATCGCTGTTTCTTACCTGTTAAAGTTGCAACTTATAAAGATATGAGAGTAAAAACGGAAATACATATACGAATAGGAAACTATATTAAATTACTATTGTATCAACTGTAATTAATTATAGTACATAACAATCGCTCATAAACGACGATGACGCGATCTAACTGACATTATAGTTATCTACAAGAATACGATTCGAATAAATGCGATACTTCCTATCTACAATTTATCATCATTAAAATTAAGAGTTAAAAATGCAAAAGATGTCTAATGGATGATACAACGAAAATGTAACGTTAGCTTATCTCGCTCGACTTGGCTTTACGAAAACGTAAAATGTACAAATGCTCTCCCCTAATTTTCCTCTCACGAATAATACTACCAGACATATTCAATTTTTGAAACGCACTTAGAATATATTCAGGATCGTTCTCTTTGATCACGACTAAGTAAAACAAGCCAATATCTGACAAGATCTCAGGAATAGTGCTGAATACCTGTTCCATAACTTGTCTACCATGTTTACCACCAGCCCAAGTCTTAAACACGAGTCTGTCATCCAACACTTCTTCATACTCTGTAGCTACATATGGCGGATTGAATAAAATAACATCAATCTGACCTCTTATCCGCATACAATCCAACAGATTCATCTGGAGGACATTTACAACGACGGAATTGTCTAGACTAGTTCTCCTCGTGGCCCTACATGCATCAGGATTTATATCAACTGCGATAAAGTGAGAGCTATGATACCTTTTTAACGCCATTGCTAGAGCTGTGATAACTACGCCAGAACCACTACCTATCTCTAAACAGATCACAGGCTTTATCGCCTCTAAAACCTCTAGATCTGCCTCTAAAGCATCTATCAAAAGATATGAATCCTCAGAAGGTTCATACACCGTTTTAAGCTCTTCGTCTGACAACTTAACTATAGGTGTCTCCATGATTCTTATATGAATTATATAAAGTTTTCATATAAAACTTGTAAAGTATGGCAAGTTTCAAGTAATAATTTTGAAATAATATCACATAAATCTTACAATTAGTGACACCAGAAGTTATTGCTGTTGCTGCTGCGTATCAGCCTCAACTTGGGCTGGCTCTTCCTTATCTGGCTCGACAGTAGAGCTGCTGTACGCTGAACTATTATCTAACAATGTCTTCCTCTTGGCAGTACTTTTCTCAACAGCTTGATGCACCTTATTCAACCTCTCTTGAGTGGTTTGCAAGATGTTACTAACAATAGTGATCTTATGTTTAGCGTTAATAAGCTTCTTCACGTAAGAATCTGTATCTAATGGATACTGCAGGGCCTCGTTGATTCTCTGGAGTTCTTCAGTTAACGATTCAATGCGCTGCTTCAACTCTATTTGACATATCCTGTAGAAAAGAAAGATACATTACCCAAATCACTTCAGATTTTGCCTGATCATTGGTAACAATTAATAAAGATCCAAATGGTCTTTATACATGAAACATTTGATATCAATATTTGTGAAATAAATAACGAAATATTAAACAAGATATCTTGTTTTCATTAAAGCAATTTCAGAAAAATTATATATAAATATATGAATAAATATGCACATTTGTTTCAAGTTATATCCTGAGGAAGTCACAAGAATAAAGCCCACAATACAATAAATTATGTACGATAAATGCATGGTCGTGAATTCCGAAGGGAGTTTACCATTCGTAAGCAATTGTTGCATCGAATAGCAACGAAAAATTCACCTTGTAGCACGAATTCTCTCGTCCAGCTGATCCACCGTAGGCTTCAACAGGCTCATAAGACCCTCTGTCAACGCATCTCGTGTGGGATTCTCACAAAAGTCGTCTATTTTGTCGTCGATAGACGTATTGTCACTCGCCGTGTCTACATCCATGTTTCGGCCGTATGATAGGTTATACGGAACAAGTATGCGCGAAGGGATGTGAACCACAAAGTGGCGTTCCATAGTACGAGAGAATTCGTGTTGGTAAGCGGTTACTGGCAATAGGTATATATTGCCGACACACCGACGAGATATTACTACGAATCGCTATTCGAAATTCACGTAGCTAAGAGAAATTATCATAAGGCGATTGTTTTCTGTTACCATATTTCACGATCGTTTTAACGAAGACAATCCATGATATCAGCATACTTCGATTATTTTCACTTTGTTATTTATTCGATCGTACTAAAATGCACTGCTGCGAGAAAACTTGTACAATATACACACTCACACAAATATGTCTCTAGTCCGATTCGCGCGTTCCGATATTCGCTTGAGATATTTTAAACGTCAAACCGCGCTCAACACTACTACTACATCGTGTATGTATATGTATGCTCTTATGAGACGTTACATGACGGTGTGAGTTCTGTATTGATGTAATGAAAGTACTATACTTTACATGACGTTCCCGATCCTTTCGGTGTCGACTCTTAATAATATCTTGCCGCGACGGATGTACAAACTTCATTTTTGACGATATTGATAACAATCTGTACGAAAGACTCATTCCGACGAATCGAAATTATGAAGAATACGAGACAGATAGTACAATCCTTCGCGATTCCTTTATTAAATAATGTAGAACGTTTTCTTATCCAAAGCGTCGATTGACTGAGGCGACGTGAACCGACCAATCACAGAAACCGTGGACGACCAATCTTGCATCTACTTGTCAAAAGATGAGAAGTAGTCGTCCATCTCTCTCGCACTCTTGTACGACATCATACGACACGACTCAACGACTACGAGCATCGAAGAATATCGTATTAAATCGTGCTTCCGCGGACCAGCTAACACGTTCAAAGGATCGCCCGTCACTAAATACGACACTCTCGACATACGTTCACGCAGGATACTTACTTCGGACGTATAAAAGGACGCGATGAACACGGAGCGGACGCGAGCTGCTATTCGAATCGTCCCGAAACGCGAACGGAATGGCGCCACTTGGAACATTCGTAACTTGGAAAATTGGAGAAGACGCGCATGATTGGTCGGTTCACGTCGCCTCAGCCAATCGATGCTTTAGATGACGAAACGTTCCATATCATTAGATAAAGGAAAGCTAGGGACTGTATAATCCATCTCGTATTTTCTGCGATTTTGACTCGTCGGAATAAATTTCGTGTGCGGATCGTTGTCCAGATTACCAAAATTGAAGTTCGTATATCCGTTATAGCAAGATGTCGTTAAAAAGGCAACATAAGTGTCTAGAGTGTCATGTAAAGTACAGTACTTTCATTACTTTAGTGCAATTCGCATATCACACTACCGTGTTGTATATACACTTTTGCTCTGGCAAGGAGTGTCGTGCTCGGTTTTCGTTGAAAATGTCATAAATAAATCTCGTAAATGTTTGTCATAATAACAAAATTATGAATCTCCTTGATGCTAGAACTGTCTCGAGCATATTAAGATACGTAGACTTTGAAAATTGAAGAAGACGCATGTGATTGGCTGAGTAGCGTGGCCCCAGTTAATCGGTGCTTTGGATAACGAAACCTTCCACAGTACTCAGTAAAGAAACTGTCATGACGCAGTCAACAAGTCGTTCCGTATTCTCTGCGATTTCGGCTCGTCAAAAGTGAGTTACGCGTATGGTTCGTCGTCATGATTGTCAAAGATAAAATTCGTGTTTCTGTTGCAGTAAGATATCGTTAAAAAGGAACGCCAAATTGAGAACAAAACTTTTATCACGTAGATGCAATTCGGAGTTCACATGTCACTGCCGCGATGTACATTGCCGCAATGTACACTGTTGACCTGACGAAGGAGAGTCTCGTGTTCAGATTTTCGTCGAAAATGTCATAAGTAAGTACCGTCCGTTTGTTATAACTAAATTATAAATCTCTTAAATATTGGAATTTTCTCAAACATTTCGCGGTATTAAGATATGTAGACTTTAAAAATTGGGAAAGACGCTTGTGATTGGTCGATTCGCGTCATATGAGCCAATCGGCGCTTTGAATAACGGAACAGCTTAATAATTAATCAAGAAACGGATCATAACGTAGTCGTCAAGCCATTTCGTGTTCTCCACAATTTCGATTCGTCAAAAATGAGTTTTATATGTGAATTATAACTCAAAGTATCGAAAATAAGGTTCGTACAATCGTCGTATCAAGATATCGTTCGTGTCAAGAATCGTCGGGGAGGAATATATCTCGCGGTTAGAAATACAGTCGTCTAAAGATTATGATAGTTCGAAGTGCAAGTTACTATCTTTTCCGCTTTCGAGTATCATACGCGAATTATCGGGAACATTGTCGAGAGTGATAAGAGACCAATTACATTAGCGACAATTATTCGCGACTTGTGCTCCTATGCTTTCGATCGGCATAGCAGACGTCGGTAAGCGTCGATAGAGCAGAGTCTATGAACAATATCGCCGCGACTACGAGTTTTGTGTGCCGAGCAGTATGTTTATTATGTGAACGAACGTGTGACCTAAGCAGTCGTTCGTCGGGAATGTTAAATTACGTAGAACAGAGCATAGAATATTTACGACGCGTCATGTCGCTACGCCGGTTAGAAACGGAGAGGAATTCCGTGCGTCTCACGACTGCGCCGCCTCTCCCCTCCCCCCGCCACAACAGCGCCGACTACGTGCGAGCGTCGGTATAGTAGCTCGGCACTTGACCGCCAGCAGTCCTTCACGGCGGACGGTAAGGCTCGGAGCTCTGACGCGGCGCGGTCTTATTACACTCGTCGCGATATTCGTTCACGTTTCGTGTTGTATCGACGAGATGGCGACTCGATGGCCATTTCGTCGCATCGAAGTCGTCGCGAACGACACCGTCGTAGTATCAAAATGGCCGTGACAGATTCCGCGATTTCGAGTGCAGTGTTGTGAGTGCGCGTGAAGTTCATCGGGTGGATCATCGCCTGGGAAAGACGTCGTGGCCGTGGCAGCCTTCCCCGAAGTATGACCGACAATCCTGCGCCGCTGGTGAGTCATGACATCTTATACAAAACGAGTTTGAGCGAGGTGAGTGTCGCAGAAGACTGCTAGGTTATCGGCTGACATGCGCGTTCCTCGGCCGCATTATCGCGTTATATGATTATCTCGCTGTTTATTCGGCGACTGTAACATCTCGCACGAGATGCTTCTCGATATTCGTAAAATCATCATGAGATGTATCTATGCACATTTTGCATCCGAGAAGCACGCAGTCTGCGCAAACGCGCCGGCCGAGGTTCGATGCCCGCTCTGATTTGACGTCATTCCCTGACAGCGGCTATCACCTGTTCTTACCGACGGTGACGTCACTGACAGTGATGACGCTGCGGACCCAGCCTCTCGGAGGAGAGCTGTGCCGGTGACCTGAAGTCGGCCTTATCGATAGTCACCTGTGATGCAAGTCTCGTGCTGACGTTATTGTTAATTGTTATGTAGAGTAGCATTCTTGATATGCTGCTCCTATTAAATTTTCGTATATTCAAAGTAATATTACATTTCGCGACACTCTTCTAGTCAGTTCGTATTTTTCAGTGTGCACATTATTTTTTATATTTCTTTATAATTATTTCCTAAGACAATTAGGGCAATAACGAGCTATTTTTCGCAAAACTAATTTGACGATCAAACATCTGTGAAAATAAACGTAAAAGAAAGAAAGTAAAGATAAAAATTATTAATAAAGTTTCATATTTTTCTTCAAAATTTATCTGAAATGTGTGTTGTCTCGCGTATTGTTTATATTTACATATATAGAGGTACCTAAAGAAATTATTATTAGAATAACGATCACAAGAGATCTACCTCGAGGCTTACGTAATTTTTTGTTACATGTTATGTTTGAGTTTGTATTACGTTGAAGCTCGAGTTAACGTTGTCGTATAATCCACTAATCTATAGCGGGACAACATCGTAAATATATTCCATACAAAGTGCACAATGAAAAAATACGTTTCTTTAAAACAGAGCACCGGTCATTATTCGTGCATGCCAAAAGTTAAGTAGCTCGCATTGAGATAAATGATCAGAAGGTTTCCACAAGATGACATCATACTGACGGTATGACGTAGGCGAGACCTATAATATAGTTGATGCTGGCATTACGCGGTGCTCGCTTACGTCAGATGGCTGCAATGCATGCGACTGCATCACGGAGTGAGGTTGCATAAGACACTCTTGTTAAGGGCTGTTCCTTGCACATGTTGAACTAAGTAGTCTGCTATACGTTCTGGAAAGTCGAGAGATGCGTCACTTGTAAAGAGTAGCTCTTTCATACCGCAAAAAACTCCATCGAGTTAAAATCGAACTTCTATGTTGGAATTATTCAGAAATGAAAAAAATATTAAACGCATCGGCTTATATTCTCGCGTTACGGGACTAGAAAATTACATGGAAATATTTTATAAAATTAATAATAGCCTGATACGCGCGCACACATATTTTTCCAAGCCGAGATTTCAAATTTACGATAATTTACAGTCTTACTAGTGTCAATTTATATGTCTAATAATGTTTCTTGGATTAAATCAAATTCTATTTTTTATTTTTATTTCTGTTTATTATTATCGCACCAACTTAAAATTTTAATTTTTATTAGCATTTTTGGGCACATGATAGTCTTATGTTTATCCTCACACCTAGAAATTTTTCTTAATGAACTTTCAGATTCAAGAGGAATTTATATAAGGTCTATGTTAAATCAAAATTTCGGCTTTAGCAATTGTTTTGAATTTAATCGAACTTTACACCGAAATATTCTATAGAATTGATAATTATTCGATATGCGTGCGCTGTTTGAATCCGATGGAACATTACGAGAAAATATCATATGAAATTGATAATTCGATATGTGTATCGTATTAAAATTAATGACGCTTCGCGTAGCCCGTGGCGCACGGCAAACAACAGATTTCTATTCGAAGGGATTATAGTAACGTTAAAGCTGCGCGTAACGTTATCGTTTTACCATCGATGCTAGTCGAGTACAGAATATGT